ACATCTATGGCAGGATAGCTGACAGCCTGGCCACCAAAGGCCACATGTGAACCCAGGAGCAGGTTTGCATGACAATCAAGTTGGTCCAGCAAGCCCCCCAACCCTGAGCTTCCCCTCTCCCTTCTTCCTCTTGCTTCCCCTTTCCAGCTCCCTCTTCCCAGGTTTCCCCCTCCCCTCTTCCACCCTCTCTTCTTCCCTCTCCCGCCTCCTTTCCCCAGTCTCACCAGAGTTTCATTCCCTCCCACGTTTTGTTAAATAAAGAGAGTTTGTGTTCATGAAAATACGTGTATTTTATTTTACATCAGGAAGGGAGGTTAGGGAGGGGTAAGTGGAAGGACGTGAGGGAGGAATGAGGCACAAGCCCCCAGTGGGGCAGACCAGGGAGGCTGTTAGTGCTCCTCAGGGTGGAAGCTCTCCCGCAGGGCCTCCTGGATACAGATAGCCCCCCGATGGACCTCCCGGATGGCAGCCTGTAGAAAGTGCACCCAGGCTCACAGCAACGCATCCAAGAGAAGCACCAGAGTGCCCAGGGGCAGCTCTGGCTCCATGTTGCCGAGTGCTGTTGTGTCCTGAGTGAGGGCAACCAGGGCACACAGAGACAAAATGCTTTGCTGTCCCACATCGAGGTAGGCAAGCAAGCAGGGAAACCTGAGAACTGGCTGTCCAGAGGAGTCCCTTTAAGCACAGACCTCAGATAGCCTCAGGCATCAGCCCCACACAGTAAGTCCTGATCTGATGCCCTACCGGACCTGGTTCCAGCCAGCCTTAAATGCAATTCAGTGTCTATTCAGTGTGGAATTGCTATTTTGAAATAGCAAAACACTATTTCAAAATGCATTTTGTGTGTAGATGCATTATTTTGAAATAACTTATTTCGAATTAACTATTTCGAAATAATGCTGTAGAGTGGACATACCCCACGTGTCAAAATAAATGAAGTTTTCAGTGAGCCATCTGTGATGGGGTGCCATTGCCCCACACTTGGGGGAACCATGGCAAGGGATTGGGGGGGGGGAGGAACCTTGAACAGACGCCAGCGAGAGCCGTGCGGCAAAATGGAACCCGCCAGGAGAGGAGCCAGAACGGCCCAGACAACTGATAGCAGGGGCCGTCCAGATGCTGGAGAAGGAAGGGATGATGTCACTAGCCACACCGGCGATGAGAACACCGGTTGCGCCGTGGTGACAGCCCCAGAGGAGGCGGCGGGGAATTCAAAAGGAGCCCTGCCAGGGGGCAGAGGGGAGGAATGGGGGAGCAAGGACAACTGGGGAATAACGGGGACGGTGAGTTACTTGAAAGGATGAGCGACCCCCGGAGACGGGAGGGGGAAGGAAGCAACCCAGGGGAGGGCTGTGGAACCCGTGAGCAGGTGGTTTAGGGTATGTCACCCCCACCCGCTGGATAGGGGCACAAGTTCCCTACCCTTAGGGCCCTGAGTTGGGATTCGGGAGAGAGGGTGGGCCTGAGTCCCCCTTGCACCTGATGGGGCTTGTATCGCCTGTCTAAAGGCAATTATCTTGGTTAAAACGTTAATAGTCTGTATTCTGATGTAACGGAGGGGAGGATTGTAAGCCAATGGGAAGAGGATTGACACAATAAATTGGATCTGGGTAGAGCCTTGGTCCCGTAAATTAATTTAGGGTCATGGAACCCAAGGGTGGACCCATAACACCATCCAGTCTTCTTTGATGGTTTTTGCTGATTCACTCAGTTGCAATTCTGGGGCTTATCCAGTAGATCTCCCACTCGACAGAGCAGCTCGGCAAAATCTAGCTCTAGGAAGGCTTAATATTGTGTGTAAACAAATACCTTTCTGTTCTGATTTAGATCAGTGCTTTTTTTGTGACGGTATGGCCCGGAATAGCGTACCGTCACCTATTTCCCCAGCCCACAGAAAACGAATGGGATTCCCCCATGCGTACTGGCACCTATTTTCCTGGGGTGGCTCAGCTCCTGATGGAAGCCTGCTAGGGATGTGTGGTGTTTTTTTTCCGGCTTCCAGTGCGGTGCTGTGGCTCTCAAAGGGGCCGCAACCGCATTTTGATCCCCAACATGGTTTTTTTTTTTTTTTTTGCTCAACAAGTTTGCTCCAGAATACCAGCACCGTTTTTCTTACAAAAAACCCCACTGATTTAGATTAAGAATGGATTACATTGTTCTAGACATGCAAACTTTTTAAGAGAGAGAATTATAACTGATAAAAATACCTACTTCAACTGTTCTCCAGTAGGGATGAAATAGTGTAGTTGACTAACCAATAAGCAAAAGCTTATAGGTTAATGCTATAGACTATATGCATTTCCTCTCCTTCTCCCCTTGCCAGTAAATTTTTTAGCAGGCTGGCCAGCAGCCCAGCTCAATCCTGTGACGGGTCTGGGACCTACCCCTACTGTGGCTCTGCATTTAAAATGTATTAGGAGCCGAGTGGGCAGGCAGCCCAGCTCTGTTCTGGCTCACACTGGATCCAGGAGTTCAGACCCCTCCAGATAAGGCCTGCTGCCACCCAGTGCTGCTGCTTCATCAGAGGCAGCAGCATAGGGCGACAGGCAGCTGGTCCATGAGGGGAGCTGGTTTTTAAACTGGCTCCTCTCTTGGACCAGCTCCCACCTGACACCCTACGCAGCTGCCTCTGTTACAGGCTCCTCTGGAGCAAGGCCAGAGCCCACTGGCTGCCGGCCCCAATCCCCAGTCTACAGATTAGTGGACTAACCAATAAGAATTCATGAAGTTACTCGACTATTCAATTAACCGATATTTAACATCCCTATACTCCAGTAAATGTCTGAACTCTACCACAACTTTCATCTCTTGCAGACCTTGCCAGTTGAGGTATTCTTCATTTTGGAATCAAATAAGCTTATTCACAGGTATATTGTTTTTTCTTTAAGCAATGAACTGGTGTAGAAGGACCCTAGCAACTGTGCAGAAAACATGGTTAATTTCAGGTGCATCCGGCTATATTAGAAATGGGGACAGATACATTCAGCTATGGTGGGATGGGGTTTGTCCAGGAGTCAGTTCCAGCAGGCTAACGCTCTCTGGAGCCCTACCCTGCTATTAGCCGCTCTTGTGCCAGTTGAGGCTATTGTGTTTTGGCCATACCCTCCCAGCAGGGCTAAGTGGCGGTGATATATGTCAACTATGGTGACTCTCCAAATGCTGGTGCCTCCCCAGAGGGGGAGTTCCCAGGCTGTTTGTAGCACAACAGGGATGAAGCTAAGATTCTGATCTAGGATGTAATTAGCATTCCACAAACAAGTTACAGAAACCCGGAGCCCAACCTAGCTCCACCAGCATTTGACTATCACAAGCAAGTTACAGGACAGTGATACAGCAGAGGCAAGAAAAAAAGCTGGCTATAGCAGAACTCTTAAAATCCTACCCATGCAACTCAGGGAAACCATACTGAAATCCCACCAAACAAAAATTTCTCAAGCCACTTTGAGCTAGCATAGTTTTTTATCGCAGAATGGACATGTTCCATGGGCATCTGCTTCCTGACTACTGAATTAGTGACAGATTTACACTGGCCTATAAAGCCATGTACTTTGCCTACTTCAAAGGGCCTCTTTCCAGATGACTGAACTCTGATTTGCAGCTGACTGCCATCTTTGTTCTTAATTTGTTTGTTCTTTTTTTCTAGACCAGGACAGTGTCGGGTTAGAGAAAAATGGCTCAAAGACATCATTGAAAGCAAGAGGATACTCATGGACAGCATAACTTTCTAAATTAATATTTGATTCAGATTAAATCTAACTCAAAAGGGCACCTGCAGTTTGTTGGCGTTATATGGAAAATAAACTAAGGACACTGCAATAGCCTTTTTTTGGTCCTTCCTTCTCTTTTACTAGCTCTTCTAAATTATATCCTATAATAATGTTACCTGACTACTGCACTATACGCACACATTTTAAATTAGCGTGACATTAACATTTGACAGCCTAAGGACCTGATCTTGCAACTGTCTCTGCAGAAGAGAGCTAAAAGATCAGGATGTACATAATTTAAAAGATTATGTGAGGTAGTTTAAGCGTAATGTTATGCTAAAATAAGGTTTAGAAATCCAACAGAAGCGGATAACACAATTTCTAAAATTTGTATGGACACCTACAAAGGGTAGAAGTATTTCCACTTTTCAGAACGACTAACCATGGATTTTAAAAGTATGTACAGACATTCTTTTAAAAAAAGTATTTAAGAAAGGGTAGGTTAAAGGATCTGCAGGATACTCATTTTGGAAATATGCCAGCTGCCAGTGGGGGCGGGAGGG